GATTGACCAATTCTGTAACAATATTTCACAGTCCGGTCTGTCATTTAGATTGTCAGATAGTGTTTGGACTGCACAAATTATAGTTAGGACATTAGGATTACCTGCACAGTGCCCATGATAAAGTGACACATCATCTATTGCCACATCAGACTGAGTATTCGAACCTCTTCGTCCTTCAAATATAATCTAAAAGTAAAGAGGTTACTGTTACATGGCACTATACTTGTCATGGTATACAGAGTGATTAGGTTACACTTAAATTAAAAGTATTGGACTGTTATTTATTTGCAGTGCAGTTTTCCAACATCAGATAGGTCTAATAAAGAAATGTCTCTGATAGGTAACACACCTGGAAATTGTCTGTTGCTGTAATGTCCACCTGAGCCAGGTGCCACATATTTCCTTGGTCATTCTGCTTCCTCCAAACCTGATTGGCTATTCTGTTTTGGAGCAGGTAAACATGGAGGCCCATTGTGTCTGCTGAGCCGTACATATGGTACCAGAACTGCAGACACTGAGGTCCAGAGTTAGAGCACTCAGAGCTGATGAAACGCGCTGTGTCTCCATATGATGCACTGTTGGCTTCAATGTAAAGATAGTGGCCACCTGAATAGAGACATACATTTTTAGACAATAATATTGAGAATGATTCAGTAAATTACACATGTTCAAGTCATTTACATGGTTAAAAGTGCTTGTTAAATTTCTTTGGTTCGACATTTTTCACATTAAACTGAAAATAAAGGGGAAAAAAACCTACAATAAAACAAAAATAAAGAAATAACTAACGATCAAATGGCTTTAACAATGCACCTATGGTTAATAATAAACAGAAAATTAGTGTGTGGTTTACTTATTTTTTTCCTGGAAATAACTGTTTCTGGCTTGTGTCAGACAGCTAATTACCTCCTGTGGTGTGATCTGAAGATGGTCCAGTATTGATGGTAGGAGTGGAGCCACTCTGTCTTGTCCAATCAAAAGCATCAGTTATCATCTGATTCCACTGACATAAATCTTGCTCAAAATTACAGTGGAATTGGCACACTGTTCAAAAAAGAAAAAATATGATTATATAAGGCATAGA